CATTAGTAAAAGTTGACTAGAACGCAGGTAAGAATTCCACCAAACTTCTGTCTCGCATTTGGATAATATTGTAGCTAGAGGTTTGTGATCAGTTTTGCTGGCATCTCATTTTTAGAAAATCCTCTTAAAATAGAACAAATTTCTGGGATGGCAAGAAGAATGCTGTGTTATCTAGATACCTCTTCATATTAGAAACACCTGGGGGAAAAATGGCAGGAGGATTGACTTGAGGACTTGGGGAGCACATAGTATCTGGTCTCCCATAGGTAAGAAAATTAAACTTCACAGTTTTAACATCCAAAGACATTTTTATGACACGTGACTGAAAGTTATATGTACAGTCAAAACAAGGGCTGATCGTGTGGTTATATTCTCTTTCAGGGAGCACTTAGAAACCCTTTATGCATGGGATGAAGTTTTTCCTGCTCCTTTTTAATGTTGAGGTGACTTTTATTTTTTCAAACTGTAAAACACATAGTTCAACTTGATTTCATAGTGAAATCATTCAGAAGCTCCTATCTGCATGATTGCAGCAGAAATAGACTAAACAAAAAAAAAAAATACAGTCAGTACAAATTGCTGTGGGTTATCTATACAGCAACAGCATGTGGTGAGAACCTGGAAGCTGCATCCACAGAATTTATGAGACTTCCAGTAAATCAGCTCGGTTCAGTGTTTCAGACCTGTATCCAGCTCTGTTTGGCTGTCTAGACACAGAGAGATGAAGCTTCAAAAAATGGGTATAAATGAAGCAGCCAAAGCCACCAGAAGTCTTTGACCTTCTTCTAATGTTTCAACCAGATAATTATTTTCCCTCTCAAGAATTTGGCTATCCTTGGAAGGGGAAAAAAAAATCAAGATTTTTCCATGTGAAGAGCCCCTGAAAGAAAATACGCTGCAGAAAGGTCAGTGAAAATGGGCCAAAGCTGGATTCTTCAGATCTGCTTAGAGAATGTGGAAAGTCTGTACCCTTTCTGCTGTGTGTGCTGTCCAGCTGGCAGAGGGCTCTGTGGCCATTGGCCAGCTTTGCCCTCCCTGTACCTTTACATCTTAAAGGAGCTTGTGCTGTGCAGTGGAACTGCCTTGAATGGAAACCTAAATGGTAGCTAAAAGCTCTGGTACAGAGGTAATTAGATAGTTAAAAACTGATGGATTTTGATTTTGTCAAGATAATATATTGTAAGATAATCCATTACCCTTTCTGCTCTGTAGCAGAGATAGGATCTTTCAGACTTTCCAAAAATAAAACTTTCATACTTGGAAAGTACACTTTCTTTAATGTGCCCCTCTTTTCATTAAAATGACAGATTCTGTTTGTTGTCGTTCATCTCCTTAAACTTTTTTTATCTTACGTTTTTTTGTAGAAAGTTAAGGATTCAATCAGAAATGGAAAAATTAAAAAGTGGTTTTAAAAATAAACATAGTCCAAGTTAATTCCATAGTTCTTTTGTTCGTTCACTCATTGACTCACTCATTCAGCAAACGTTTGTTTTAAGGAAGCCACAGCCTGTGTTAGGCCCAGGTTGAACCATTTGTTAGCTATGTGGTCCTGGGAAAGTCATCCAATCCCCCTAAATCTGTTTCTTCAACTGTCAGACAGCTCTCTTACCAACTTTGCAGGACTGCTATGAAGATTAAATGAGAATGATTTTTTTTAAGATGGTGAAAAATTAGAAGGTCTTCTTTTCCTCCTCTCCCTCTATTGTCATATCCAAGAAATCATACGGAGAGGGAGAGTCTCCAAAGCCCTAGAAATGTCAGTAAGCTTTTTAGTTCACTGTGGAGTGAACTAGGTTGCAATTCTATAAGTGACCAGTGCGTGCTTTACCTTGATTAAGGAAAAGGGGATAAACAGGAAAACAACAAAAAGAAACTTCTATAGTTCCTCACTGAATCAGCGTGAGAAATGTGGCTATGGCGCCCACCAGAAACCCAGATAGCCAGCCTTATTTGGGACCAATTCAAAGCATAAACTTACTTTCCCAAGTAAGAATTTACAAATGGGAAAGTCCAGGTGGAAAATGTCTGATAATAAATATTTATTCAAGTTAAGCAGAGAGTTCCAGCTAAGTAATTGCTTAAGTGGAACAACAGTGAGTGCAAAAGTATCAAAAGAAAAAGATAAAAAGAGACCCTTAAAGAGATGTGAAAACAATAATTCAGAAATAATCTTCTAGGTTAGTATTTCTAGATAGTTTAGCAATTATCGTGAGATAAAGTCAAGGAAAATAAAAGCTTCTCAATTCTTCAATAAGTCAAGAGTTATTTTTTTGTTTCTGAATTTCATATATACAAAAATGAATTAAAGGATTATTTAGAAAACTTAAAAATAATCATTTACAGTAGAACTGTAACTGCTAAAAAAAAAAATATAGAAGCCCAAAAAGACAATTTACTTCTCACCCTATACAAAGGAAACAGTAAAGTTTTCAAAATGTCAAAACTAAATCCCAGTATATGGCTATGGCAAAAAATAAACATGATTAAAACATCCCAGAATCTCCTGGGGGATAGAATGATGGGCATATAAATGGTAGTCTTTGCCCTCATGTTTTTTATGGGCTAGTCGGGAAGACAGACATTATCAAAATTAATAAGTAAATGAGAACGAAAAAGAAACTCACATTACATCTAAATCACCAGCTGTGATCAGTGCTACAAAGGAAAGTGAAATATGAAATAGAAACATTTATGGAAGAGGAGCTGACCTGCAGAAGTGTCAGAAAAGTAGTGTCTGAGGATGTGATGACGCAGCCGAAATTCCCAGGAAAGAGTTGAAGTTAACTGTGCAACCAGGGGAGGCAAGAGAGCTGCGGGGAGAGAGCAGAGCATTCAGAGGCTTGGGGAGCAAGCATGGCCCATGGGAGAAGGTAAAAGGAGGCCAGTGTGGCCGCAGCAGAGAGGAGAGCAGAGTGTGAGAAGGAGCTGAAGAGGAAGGCCAGACCGCACAGGGCTCTGTAGGCAGCATCGGAAGTGTGGCCTTTTCCCAAACCCAGGTAGCTGTTAGAGTGTTTTACAGAGGGATAAAAATATCTACTCACATATTCAGGACATGATGAGGATTCGGTGAGAACAGATTTCATGCTTGGAGACCATTGAGGAGGTGATAATAAGATGGTTGTCAGTATACCGGCAATAAAAATGTAGGTGGTAAAATGGAAGAGAAGTATGAAAGAGTGGAAGGTGGCTAAGATACTCCCCAAAATCTCTGATTGCACTGCTGCTGTGTGAAGTGGGAACACCAGTGGGCAATTCAATCATACATGTCAATGGGTCTTTGAGATACTCAAGTGGAGAAGTCTATAGGCAGTGTGAATCTGGTGCAGGTCTGCCCAGGAGATACAAGTATATGAACCATCTGGATTCAGATGTAAGTTGAGACTTGCAGGCATGAATGAAAAAGAAGAAGAGAAAAAGATTGTTAATCTTGTACACTGCTAGTATCTGTCTAAATTGGGTTTTGTTTTCTGGAAAGGTGAATGGAATGCATATTAGTATCTTAAAAATAACTTAGATCCTCTAACTCTGTTTCTAGGAATATATTCTCAGAAAATAATAAATGTGATGAAGGCTTATGGATAAAAATATTCATTTAAGCATTATTTATTATTGCAAAAAAAGAAAATTACTTGTCTAATATTAGGAGGAGATTAAGTAAACTACCATCCTATCTAATAAAAAAGTAATATGCAAATTGACCATCACTCCAACACACAAGATTGCCATCCCATGTGGTCAAAGATGGCCTCCCCCATATGGACAAAAAATGGCCTACAGAGGAGGGCAGTTGTGGGCCATCAGGTCAGCAGGGGAGGGTAGTTTGGGGGGGGAGGGGGACTAGGCCAGCAGGGGAGGGCAGTTTGGGGGGGGACCAGGCCTGAAGGGAAGCAATTAGGGGTGACCAGGCTGGCAGGGGAGTGCAGTTGGGGGCAATCTGGCAAGCAGGGGAACAGTTAGGTGTCGATCAGGCTAGAAGGGGAGTGGTTGGGAGCCAGCAGTCCCAGATTGTGAGAGGAATGTCCAACTGGGATCGAGTCTAAACTGATAGTTGGACATCCGCCGAGGGGTCCCAGATTGGAGAGGGTGCAGGCTGGGCTGAGGGACACACCACCTACTCCACCCCAAAACCCTCACCCCTGTGCACAAATTTTGCGCACTGGGCTTCTAGTACATTTATATTAATTAATATTGTAATTATAATTGGATATTTATAAAGATGTAATGGAATAAGTAGATGACTGTGATATAATAGTAAGTGATAAAGAACACCAAATTGATAGAAATGGAGATAAAAACTCAACTGTGTGAAAAATGCAGAGAATAAGAATATAAGAAATAAGTTTATCTATAAACAATGAAAACAGGATGATTGTCCCAATTTTTACTTTCATATAGTTTCCATATTTTTTAATGGGCATGCATTATATCTTTTGTATTATTTTATTATTAGGAAAAGAAATATAAAATTACAATATCGCCCCAGTTACGAATATGATATGCTCATGATAGACACTGGTTAACATTCTCTCCTTTTCACAATAGTGATCATTTTTGTGTTGTTAAATCTAGCATAGTATTTTTGGTATGGAAGATTACTGCTGTGCATTGTAAAGTTCTGTGAGTTACTTAGACTTGTAAAATAGTTTTATAAAATTGATCTGATAACTAGGCAACAGCAAATGCTTCCCCCCTCAGAGTAACTCTCCTCCGTGGGAACCCACTTCATTCCATTGGAAGCATTCAGATTTTCATAACTTCTTGTTCAGCAATACAGACGACTGAATCCTTAATGGCAAGCTTTTTAAAAAAATTATAGAATACATACATATAGGAATTCACTATTTTAAATAAAACGAATTTTTGTGTGTGTTTTTTTTTCCTTCCAGGGACTGAGAGATTCAACCATTTGGTCCGACATTTGTATCACTGTCTGCAGTAATAGAAAAAAATCATTCTGAGTTTGGGTCAGAACTAAAAGCATGGTCTTTTTTTAACTCCAGGAATGTATACAAAGACTATCGCTTCCTTGAGCTGGCCTGTGATTCGCAGGAGGACGTGGACAGCTGGAAGGCCTCTCTGCTAAGGGCTGGCGTCTATCCCGACAAATCTTTAGTAAGTGGGAGAAGTCTCTTATTTTTAACTTATTAACCATTTTTAAGAAAACAGAATTCTACCTGCTATATTTTAGAGAAACTAGTTTGCCTTTGACCTAATTTGGCACAGTTTTAAGCAATACTTTGCTTATATTTTTCTCCACTAGATTTCTATTTTAAGAAGTTTATCAGTATATTTAGACTGAAAGAAAATGCCCACTCTACCATAAAACATAATATGTATGTGTGTTTGTGCGTGTGCACGTGTGCGCGTGTGTATGTGTGTCTGTGTGTGTGTATCCTCAAATCAGGAGATAGTTTCTTTGTTGTAATTTACATTTTCATTTTCCTTTATATGATACTCCACAGTTGTTATGGTATTAATACAAGCAGTTTATAGCATTCTTTATATAATCATAGCATATATATATATATATATATATATATATATATATATATATATCATTAATCGTGACACACTTTCATATTCTTAAAAATGTACTTATTTTTATAAAAAGCTACCTTCTTTTATTATGTCTGTAATACCTGTTCCAAAAGTATATCTGTTCAAACTCTGGTTAATGTCACTGTGAGTGTGAAGGAATAAAAAATATATAGCTATTCCCACTTATCTTTATTAATATACTTCAAGTGTCTCGAAGACACTTTTCTCATTCAAGTTAATAAACAGACCTTCTATTTGTGTTCTTTGGAAAATGTAATATTATACAGACAGGTCTGGATTTCAGCTTTGCAGAAGTCCAACCCAACACACGTCCACACACTGTTAAACAGACTCTGCACATGAGTGGCCCTCACAGGTTCCCCGCTGTTCCCCACACGGCATTGTACTATCCAGTGCCTCCCCAGAACTAAGTGCTGAGGCTTAGCCTTGGGGACCGAGTCCAGCTTGACCACAGTGGTGCTTCCTGGGCTCTATTTCAGTTTGTGGGACTGCCCACACACAGGTGGGGTTATTTCCAGGCCCGGAATAGGACAGAGTGAGTCTGAGATATGGATGCAGTGTGGGACCCTTAAAGGCACTCCAGGAACATTCAGACCTGATCACGTCCCTGAAGTCACATTGGAATGTAATGAAGTTCTAGGTTCAAGGATCGAGGATTTGTGCCAAAATGTTCTCCTCGCTGCTGTTACCTTAGCTCACACATACACCTCTTAACGCCATACCAACTTCCTTTCTCTGGTTAGCACCTAAAATGATGAACCCACACAATATGTCCTGTGCGCTCCAAATGGGGAGACAGCAGACCCTTTCCTGATGATGCCAGGCAGAGAGATAGAGATATATGATTTTCATAGTCATCCAGCTTTTACCAGTTGTGTATACACATACTTGCCTAGATAACTACCACTCTAAAGACCACATGTGAGAAAGCATTGAAAAAAAATTATTATTAATTCTAATCATTATTTATTACTCTTCCCTACCTATTGATGGTAGTGTGTTTAATTTCACAAGCATTCTATATTAAAAATTTGTAAACATTCTATATTAATTTTGTAATCATTCATTTCATAAAAGCCTATTGAGTTCATGCTTTTTTCCAGCCACCCAGTCTAGACACCAGGACACAGAGATGAGCAGTGAGGTCCCACCCCCAAGGAACAGACAGTAATCAAGGCAGTGTTATAACTGTATAACTGTAGTGTGATGTAAGAGAGTGATAAGCTCTATAAAAATGCAGTAGATTGAAGGGCTGGCCGGTGCTATGAGGGCAGGTGAGCTTTATCTTAGGAAAGATGATCAGGGGAGCCCCTTGGGAGAGTGGACATTTGAGTAGGCTCATGGAGGAAGGGAGGGAGGAAAGGATGGGGAAGTCTAGAAGAGTAATCGTGCAGAGGACTGGCATGGGCAAAGCCAGTGCAGCGTCTTAGAAGAGCAACAAAAATGTTGGTGTGTCTGGAACACACAGAGGAAGGCCAGGAGCGGTTGAGTTTCCAAGAGGAAGGTGGTCAGGAGCAGGTTGTGGTGAGCCTTTGAGGCTTAGTCTGAGTGAGATGGGACATCAGTAGAGGGTACCAAGCCAGATATGATTTGCATTTTTTAATATCATTATGACTGGGTCTAAGGAGAAGCAGTGGTGGGTTCGAGCACAGGCTTTAGTGTCTGGCTACCTATTAACATTCCAGACACTCTCGTACAGGCTTTGAGATGCTGGGCATGTTACCTCTTTATGATTCCAGACTCCTGTTCCTAATGTGGAGATAACGCCAAGTCCCCATGGCTTGGTTGACAGGATTGAATGAGATAATGCAGGAAAAGCACTGAATAGAATGATCACAAATAAGCACTCTATTTTTATTTATAATGATGATGATCATTTTTATCACATATTACTTCCTTTATTAAGTAGATGAAAGAGCTAAAACACTGTGGATGTTATAATATAGCCCAGTGAGACTTGATGTTATTTCTATCTCCCAGATATGCTCAGTTATATAAAATCTGTGTGTGTGTGTGTGTGTGTGTGTGTGTGTGTGTGTGTGTTTCTTCCTTACATGTACCGGTAACTGTAATGTTAGTGAAAATGTTTTCTTAAGTCATAATTTTGTTAATTCAGTTTATTTTATTTTTTCAGCTTATTTTAAATGCACTATGCATGTTTTCTATTTAAATAAATCACATAATGCTTCTCTTGTGAGGAATACACTGTCTTGGAAAAGCACAGTTACCTTCCCTTTAGTGAACTGTTTTTATAAATCTGAATTTTCACGTACCTATAGCTCTACACAAAGAAGCAGCTCAGTGAAATATTAGCTTTCTTTTTTCACGGAATGCTCAATTTTAAGTAAATGTAGAGATTGAGCCAATTCTACACAATCTGTTTTGGTTCTTTTCACATGATTTTTATTTGTTTAGAAGCACACATTCTGCATAGTGGTTTGGGAGATTGGGACAAAGGGGGTTTTTACTACAAGCCAAAGACAAGGCAGGAAATTAAACTTGGCAGCTTGCCAGGGACATTGCTTTTCTCAGTTTTCATCATAAACACTATTTGCATTTTTTATGCACCAGGTTACATTACATGATTGCTTGACTTTCAGCTGGTTAAATGGCTGCTTACTACTGAGAACAATCAGTAGAACCCTTGTCTAACCATCCCATTTTTTTTTTACAAATAGACTTGGGGGAAGGGATACTTTCAGATGCGGTTATTTCTAATTTAGAAAGATTTGATGAAGACATCAGATTAATCTAGTAAGAGATGCCTCTGTCTAAGTGGGTCATTTTGTTTTTGTATCATTAACCCATCAAGTCAACAGCTAGTCAGTCAACTGCTACCCTAATAATAAAACTTTTATGTGTCATCCATGAACATGAGTCTAGGCTCAAAAAGCTCTGCTTTCTACAATTCTATTTTAACTGGGGGGAAAAATCTATACTGATCATTTGTTTTATTTGTATAAGGTTTGGCTTCATTTAGATAAATAGCTATCACCCAAATTGGAATAAAATAATGTTTCAGACCAGTTTGATTTTCAACTAAGGTTGCACACTTTATTACATCATGCTTTTCCCCATCATATTTTTCTATCACATTCACATATTGGAATGTTTTTATGTCATTAATATCATAATATTCTGCTACTCTTGTTTCTTCTGTCTCCTAGGTCATTTCTCTTGGAGTTTTCTAATTTTTTTTCTTTGTTTCCTGCCCTTCTACCCTCTTCTCCCATTTCCTACTCCCCTTCCTTCCTCCCCTTCATCCATCACTGTTGTGTTGGACTCTAGAGATTCACAGATTTTTTTAAAGTTGTCATTCTTACTCTATGGGAGTTCCAAGTCTAGTGGAAGAGATAGAGGCAAAGAAATAATTACCCTACAATGTGATAAACTACAGTGGATATCTGAATATACTGCCATAACCCAACTGTACCTCCCCCATGTGCACTTTTTAATTAGCTTCAGTCCCTTGATCTTTCTGGATCCAAAGCAAAACGTAGGCTCCTTGTGTGAGCAGTGTCACTGTGATCCTAAGGTGGAAATGAGGAGTCCTGGCTTCAGTTTCCCACAGGGCCACTGATCTACCCCCACAACCCACACACAGCCTCTCTGAGTCACAACGTAGCATTCTTTCTGAGCAGCTGCAATATTATAAAAATATATTTAAACCTGGCCTTAGCTAATCTGGCTTAGTGGATAGAGCATCGGCCTGTAGACTGAAGGGTCCCTGGTTCGATTCCAATCAAGGGCACATGCCCACTTTTTGGGCTCAATTCCCAGTAGGGGGTGTGCAGGAAGCCGGATCTGAGGGTGGGGCTTTCGGCCAACCCTCCCATGGCACCTCCCCCTGATCACCCTCCCACCCCAATAAGGGGCTGGGCCTGCTGGACAACCTCATGCAGCGCCTCCCCCTGCCTGGCTCCACCCAAGATCAGTCCCCCCAACTCCAATCAGGGGCAGGGCCGGCCAGATAACTGCCTGCAGCCTCTCTTCCAGGCTGCTGGCCCCCAATCTCCCACCCTCCATCCTATTGGGGGACAGGGCCCTCCAGCTAATCTAACACCATCTCCTCCTCCCAATAGGCCCAGCCCCGATTCACCCTGATTGGGGCCAGGCCATCTGGACCCCACCCGTGCATGAATTTGTGCACTGGGCCTCTAATGTGTGTGTGTGTGTGTGTGTGTGTGTGTGTGTGTGTGTGTGTTTAAAGTTGAATTTGGGTTTAGCAGAATTTTATTTATTTTATTTCTATTTTCTTTGGTCATTACACTGAAATTAAGATCACTATAAAATATTATATCAAAGAAATGTTTAGGATTTTATACATTTTCAAATTAGCTTTTTAAAAAATAATTAGACTGAGATAAAATGTATGTGTGTATATCAATAGTTACAGGCTACAATTAAAGCATTTTTACAAGACTATTTACAGACCCATGTACATAAACTTTTCCTATAAGTTTGAATACAAACAAATGTGAATTTGATTAAATATTTAAAGAACATGATATAGCAAATGCCTGATGTTTCTGGCACAGTTTTGTCAGCCCAGA